CTAACTCTTTTGTGATAAGCACTCATATGTGTTGTAGCTCAAAGCTCTTTAGGCAGTCAGAAAATGGGCAGAGGTCGTTACTGCACAAGGTTTTTTGAACAAGGTGAGGAACTCCCAGTGAGCGATCTGACAATAGTTACTTATTTTGCATGTTGGTTGAACAAAAGAGAGCAAGAGAAGAGTAGTGGGCTACCAAATAGGCAACTCAAAGAACGGGAATGCCGCACCTTGCAAAAATGTACTCTGCTGGTGTACAATCACGCAGGCCAACATGTGTATTTTTCTGTATATGTAATGCGTTGCAATCGCATTTGGCTTTTCTCTTATCAGAACAATTCGATGCGACCTCCAAGAGGGGAGTGCAGACTATCCGTTTGCCCTATTATTGGTTCTTCAATAATTACTTTTTAAAGAATTTATGTGTTTGATATAAGATTTCACTTTCATTTGGGGATATTCAACAGTATCAAAATGTTCCCCCACTTCAGGGACCCCGCATATACCCCGCATCTTTAAATTCCAATCTTCATTAAAACTTCGTTAGCATTGAATCAGAAATCTCATTAGTGGCCGTGGCAGAAAATCTAGGTGAACGAGATATAGTGGACGATAAAGAATATCAAACTTCCTATTCTCTCACTCTCTCTCGCCCTATCTCCTCCCATCATGATGCACGGCTTGCCGCCACATGGCCCTGCATAATGGAAACGCTCAAAACTAATTTGCGCAAAAGCAAAGCCGGAACTGAAGGCATCGTCTACCCTCCCCTTCGGCACTCCTCCGCCACACTGTTTTGGCCGTTTTCCACATTCTCTCTCCCGTCGCGCGTTCATTGGGTCAAAGAGAGTGAGTGGGAGTGCGGTCTCTTCGGTTCTGTTCGCCTGACATGCACGTCTGCGGCTGCTGCTGGTCCGCGTCCATGGGTTGGGTAGGGGCTCGGCTTGGGTGTCTGGGGGCACACACCCCCATCACCCAAGTTTATTACTCATTAGCACGCACAACTGTCCGTCCGTCCGTCCGGACTGCGGAAGGGAGAATCAGCCGCAGCCGCAGCAGCAGCATAAACTTTTGCTCAAACTTTAGCTCATTTATTAAGAACCGAACCGAACCCCATCCGCACACACGAACTCATGTACATACACACACACACACACACACAACCGTACGCAGGAACTTTTTCATTAAAATTTCGCTTTCATTTATTAGACATTTTTCTTCTCCTTCAGCACTCTCTCTCTCTCGCCCCTTTCCGCACAGCACCAAACCCGGCACTGCGCCTTATCTTTTGTGGTTTCTCTGCGTTAACAGTTGTTAGTTAGTTCTAACTCCCCCCCAACCCACGCACACACTGTGATTGGAAAGTTCTTTCTTTCATTCGGTCTTTCTTTTGCTCGCCTGCAACGGGACCATTTTCATGTAAGGCTTCCGACCGACCCCCCTCCATCATTGAGGGACGACTGGCCCAGGCAAAGCGACCGTCCGACCGTCCGACCAATATTCCATTTGCTGCTGCTGCTGCTGCTGGCGTTGCTCCCGCTGCTGCCGACGCCGACGCTGCTGCTGCTGTTGCTGCTGTCGTCGTCGTCGTCGTCGTCGTAGTTGCCTGTCGACTATCTGCGGTTTTCTGTGCGCCTGATACTATGCGCCGAGTTAATTGGTTTGCAAACAAATTAACCAACGTGGGTGTGTACGTTTCCTAATTAGCAGCTTTTGTAATTAAATATGCCCGCAGCCATACACACACACACACATTGGTTGTGGTAGCCGAAAGAGGGAAAGGTAGAGAGGGTGCGTACATATGTGTGTGGGCCCGTACAATGGTATAACGGTTCATGTGACGCACAGCGGCGTCTCTGCCGGGGTTACTTGACTTAGCTAATGAACGCAGACAATAGCATACCAAACCCCTCTCAGCGGACGCCTCAGTCCACCGAAGAGAAGGAAAAGGGAGCGGCTGTGGGCAGAGGGGAGGAGCAGTCGGGTGGCAGCTCTGACGTCCCAAATGAAAATGCATTTTAATTAGGGGTTTTGTTGGCTTTTGTTTTAAGTTCATTTTTGTTCTTGTTATTGCCGCTGCTGCTGGTGCTTTTGGTCTGATTGTGTCGGTGAGGGGGGAATGGGTTTCATTCATTAGTCGAATTGACTCAACGGGACATTGAAAAAGAAGCGAAAACGAGCGGGAACGTTGCGAGTCGCGGCAAGGTCCGCGGCTCTACTTTATACCCGGTACCCAGGCAGTATATGTACATATGTATATTTACGAGTATGTGAGCTAATGATTTAAGTAGTTTGTACAATATATTTTATATGTCAGATCTGTCTCTTTTTTCATATTCGCACACCAAAAACCGCCGTTTCATCTCGAGTCCCTCCGCCAGGAGCGAACCCTGCAGGAGGAAGACTGTGTGTGAGAGAGAGGGAGAAAATGAGTAAGCGCGTGAAATTTTATTTTTTGCTTCCATTTATAAGAACTGATCCAGATTCGCCAATCTGCTAGATATAGTTATTCTCTACGTATCTTCAAAATGGTGAATTGTAGGCCCAAAAATGGGCGTGGCAAAATTTTTAGAGAACATTTTAGGAGTCTGGATACAAAATTTGATTGCTCTATGCTGGCGTCAAACAAGACGGACGGATGGACATGGCTATATCGACTCGGCTACTGATGACTATTAAGATTATATATACTTTATGGGGTCGAAAACCCTTCCTTCTGGGTGATGCACACATCCACTTTCATCCCAAATCGAATTTTCCCCCATACTCCTCCAGTAATGGGTATAAAAAGTTTGGTCAACCAGCGAGTGCACCCAGCCAGACTCTCAGTTGGAGGGGGATACACTACGATAAGCTCTCTCTGTCTCTTTCTCTTAAATGGGCTGTAGTACGAGTACTATCGCACCCACAAGTTCTGCTTTTTGCCAGTCATTATAAACGTTGTTGTAGTTGCTTTATTCGATGCGGACTCGAGCAGACAACAGGCAGTGGCAGCTCGGCAGCCCGGCAGCCCCGCAGCAAAAAAGGGTCCAATTAAAAAACCACGACAATTAACGGGGAGCCAAGTGAGTTAACTTGGCATAAGTGGAATTTTAATTGGCAACACGAGAGAGAGATGGCCGGGAGCCGAGTGACTTGCCGAGTGCCGATAAGTGCAACGCCGTAGAGATTGAGTCTGTGGGGTGGGTGGGGGAGGCGCGTTGCAGAGACGACCCACCGACAGAGCTGGTGGGCGGGGGAGGGGGCGCTCCCCAGAGTCCGGGAACGGGGCGGCGGTGGACTCCCGGTAGTTAAGTAAATGAGCATTTTGTTTCACTAATGAACACTAATGAATGCCAGCCAGGGAGACAGCACTTGGATTAAGGCACGGACTCCGCGCTCTCTCTCTCTCTTCCTATGTTTGTGTGTGTGTGTGTGTGTGTTGGGCCTTTTGTTGGTTTGGGGTTTTGTGTTGTTAATTAATAAACACGAAAGCCCAGAGAGACCCCGTACCTTCCATTGTGGATGTGACTGGGTGTGTGTGTGTGTGTGTTTGTACCCAGTTTTGAAGGGGTTAAAATAAGCAATTAGTTGGATTTTCGACTAGGCGCACAGAAACGAGCAGACGTTGAAACTGGCAACTGGCAACAGGCGGAGGCAAGGCCAGGCCCGGCCCGGCCCGGCCCGGCCCGGCCTGGGCCGACAGGCTGGCAATTCTGCCAGGCCAACAAAACCGAAATGAGAAAGTTTCAAACTGTTGGCCTCCTCATCGTCGTTGTCGTCGTTGTTGCTTCTTCTAACGAGGCAGCGGCGCAGGAGCTTACCCAACGGTGGCATGGGGCATGCGGCATGGGGCAAGGGCACAGCAGAGAACCGAGTATAGGGAACAGCGCAAGAGAAGACTCCCGACGAGGGAGTCCAGCCAGCAGGTAATCCAGCCACGCATCGCCCCGCCTCGCCTACGACAAGGGCGACGGGGAGGTGCCTCCGATACCACCTCACCACGGTGGGAAAAAGTTTCTGCTGGTTGTCTGTGCGGCCGGGGCTTGATTAGTGCCGCGATGAGTCGAGCAATTAGCATGGACACGAACCAGAAATGATGAATGGGGCAGCCAGCAGTGGCCTGTCGCAGTCTGCGGTTGAGTAAGGTCAGGGATGTGGTATGTGAGATTTTGTGTGTCTGATTAGGTTAGGTTGGTCCTTACGTCTGATTTAGCTGGAATTCCATTACGTTATGATTAAGGAGGGACGAAGCTCCCATTGGTCAGGACTGGAGAGCTCTGTCTTTCGATCAACCTGAAACCCACACAAACCTCAAACTTACTCCAACCCATGAATCGCCCTACAAGGTGCTCTCCCAAACACACTGCACTTAAGTAGGAACTTCCTTCTAGGGCCGCAATCTACTTTCGTAATCAGAAACCCATAGAGTCTTAACTATTCGTACGAGTATTTCTATGTACAACCGATCAACAGAAAAATAGATTGGAGCGCTTCCAAAAATAACTGCACAACAAACAACAAACCGAATGCGGTAATGGGGAAACATTCTAATTGAGATCGAGAACATACATATGCGAATGAATCACGCTAATCTAGCGACAATCAATTTACGGGTGGGTATATGCATATTTATGTAAGACGCCTATGACAGCTTGGTCGCAATAACTTTCCGGCGAGGGTCGGGTGCCATTGAGCTGTTAGACAAGATGACTTTATATGGCAAAGCGCCAAGCGACGCGCCATTGTCTGCCACCGATCCGAGTGCGAACTTGTGGAGGAGGCGACCTGGCTGGAGACTGACGGTGCAAACCCGTTCGAAAAACAGACGGAAGAAACCGCTCACCGGCGACTTGCCCCTGACGTCAGCGATTCAAATAAGCCAACTATATACTCGTACACAATGTGGGGGCCGGGGTCTGGCTGATCTCTGACTGAAAACAATCATTTACATGACGAGTTTTGCGCTCAAACAAGGTGAAATCATATTTTAGAATACAACCAGCACAGAGGTAGCTCAATCGTGTATTGGAACGCGCAGTGAACACATCGAAAACCGGAAAACAGAGATCGAACAGAGATGTCTCTACGCAGGAAAGAGGACTACATACCCATCAAGTGCGAGGGCTGGGACGGCAAGTTCGTCTATCAGGACGGAGCCGTCAACAATGTGTCCAAGGTCCGACGCCACAACCAGAATGTGACCAACACCAACAACTTCTACGGCTGCAACACGGAACCCATTGTCCTGCCCACCGCCTGGGATGGAACTTTCGTGAAGAGCGGCGAGACGCGTATCAAGCCCGAGCGCAATCGCTCCGACGATCAGGACTACTACGATTATAACTCGGATCCGACAGTGCTGCCGACGACATGGAGCGGCGAATTTGTCACCGATCCGAACGATGTGCGCATCAAGCCGGAGAGGAACTTTTCCGATGCCCGGGATTATGCCGAGGCGAGTCGCTTCAAGCTGGTCCAGCATTGAGAGAGGAAGAGATCCCGATTCCGATTCCGGTCCCGATCCCCGTTCTATTTCGTGAGCAAACAAACTAACTCTGCAATCAGTATACGTATTCCCCATTTGTTTGGTTCGGTTTTGCATTGTACTCTAACATAAGCGTTCGTTGTATTTTATATTTATACATAGATATTTATTCGTACTCCTAATAAACAAAGCAAAAACTGAAATCATTGCTAGAAAGTTCCGTTGTGCAATCACCTTCAGAGTGGTCTGCTGTGTAGGTGTAGGCGTTCCCAGATATTCAAGTGGCCTTTTATGGCGATTTATTGTGATCGTGTTTGCAAATTTCCTTCATAATTATAGCATTTGTTGAATGCCTTCTTGGGGTAATCAATATGAGGAGAGATTATTGGTCTGATCGGACATTCAATGAATCATTTAACCTGCAATCTGTTGGATTGTAGAATGTAAATCCCTCAAGCAAATCCCAGAGATCAACAAAAGGCACTTCGTGTGACAGCTAGACTGTCTTTCCATGTATTGTTTTTCCGAATCTTCTTATTAGATAATTGCAATATTTCCCCACTCAAGTGTCGCCCATAAAGTAACCTTGTTAAGAGCTTTTCGTTTAGGAAATAAAATAATTTTCTCTCTTGAGTAAACCGATACCGGCTGACTTATCTAAAGTCAAGTTTGCTCGACGTGCAGCAGCTCATTAAAGTGCGTCGTCCCGGCTGAATGGAATACATCTCAGAAGAATATTATATAAATTTAACTAATTTACTTACCGCTACGTTGCAGGTCCAGGAAATAAATTAATGACTGCGGTTGGACCAAACTCGTAAACTCTTGTAGGTGGTCCCAACATACGCCGAATAAATCATTCACAAGGTTGCTGTCCACCTCGTCCACTCGGATTAAACCAAAATTGAGATACATTATTATTATTAATAGTATTAATAGTTTTAGTATAATAATAAGTAAGTACTGTTCGGGCCAGCCGCCGAAGAATAGATCTTCTGCGCTCTCTGGGGCTCTCTGCCGCCGCCACTTCAACAATCCCTTTTGATCTGCCACCGTTCTTGTGTGTGCCACTCACTGCTTAGTTGAATCAAGGAAAAGGGACCTTTCAATATTACCGTCATTGAAGAATAAAACGCAATCTGTTTGTAGCCTCAAGCTAGACGATCTACCAGGAGCTCATCAACGATCTGTAGATCATTTGAGAACCAACACAAAATGTCAGAACCGATTCCAGGTACCCGCACAGACTAACTCAGGAATGTTAATCCACTCAAAAGGCACCGCATTCCATCTCATACCATACTCAAAGATCCAATTCCCAGAATATGGTATCGCATCAGATCTGGGATCACATTGTGTGTCTGTTTTCCTAAGAACATGTTCTATTCATGCATTCCATTATCTCCGGGTAAATGCCTGAGCACAGATCAAAGATCGGCACAGGCCACGCATTGAAAACCGATCCTTTTGTGTGGATGGTTCTTGGGTCGGTGCCAGCTTGACACGGGCTGACCGTGTGAAATATTCCAACTGTTATGGCAGCACCCCAATATTGTCAACAGGCCTGCAGCAAAAGCAGTAGGCAATGCCGGAAAAACGGTGGAAAACCAGCACGAGCAGGTAGTCAACACATGTCGTTCCACGAGCAGATGCGTGAGAAATCTTTGATATGGGAAAACGATCCTTTTCTTTGTGGGATCATCATCGAGAGATGATGGTTTCTTGTAGTCGTTTTTTATCGTGTGAAAATGTTGAAATCTTTGTCAAATTTGTTGAAATAACGACCAGGAGATCAGAAATGCTCGGAGGAGGAGATCAGCATGAGCCAGTGAGATTGGAGAATAAGGATCCTGACCCAGAAGAATATGTCCTTGCTCAAGACGCGAGACGAGAGTGCAGCTGCGAGAAAGTGCTCAAAAGTCTTTGGAACGTGTGCAATTGTCCACCTCGGTAGAACCGCAGAACAGGTGATCAGCGGTTTCAGTAGCTGAAACCGAAAAGAATTGTAGAATTCTACCTGTTTGTAGGCTTAGAAAATGCAGCAGGCCGTAGCCATTGAATTCGATCTTCCACATAAAAAACGAAGTCATAAAAGTGATTCTTGGGTATTCGTAAAAAATGTGGACAAAGAATGTCGTTTGCAGCCGGAGCAGGTGTGGGAAAAATCTCCATCTGCCTGTTGATCCTAAGCCACTCCGCAGCGTGTGAATTTTCCAGATCGCTTGTGGAAATTGAAAACTTTTCTACCAGGCCAACAGCACGAAGAGCAGCACAAGCCATAGAATTTTCCAAAAAGATCGTTCTACCTGCAGACCGTGCCTGGGAAACGGCAGCTGGAACCGAGCACACGATACAGCGATTACCATTTTCCGGCAACCTGTTGCTTTTGAAAAGAGATCCCCTCCCCTTTCCCATAGATGCATTTTCCAAAAAACGGTTCCTTAAAAAATCCAAAAAGAATTGGGAATTTCAGCAGGAGCAGCTGCGTGGGAAAATTCCCTCTGTCCGTAGATTCTACCCAAGGATCGTGTGAATTTTCCAGCATTATCGGGGAGATGAAAAACTTACATACCAGGCCAGCAGGAAGCAGAGTATATGTCGACAAAGATTTTTCCGAAAATGGTTCTACCTGCTGTCGGGCCTGGGAAAATGCAGCTGGAACGAAGTGCACGATGGAGGGATTTTAATTTTCCGGCAACCTGTTGCATGGGAAAAGGATCCTCCTCTTTTTTTCAAGAATTCGTTTTAAAAAACGATCCATTAAAAAACATTGGAGAAATGCCGAGCTGGCTGTGGGAAAATTTTGCTCTGCTTGCTGATCCTCTGGAAAATCGTCCTGATCGTGTGAATTTTCCAGCCTAATCGTTTAAATGGAGAATTTTTCACCAGGAAATCAGAAATAACAGTAGCAAACCGAATGCATTTTCCTAAAAGGTCACTAACTGTACTCGAAGCCTGGGAAAATGCAGCTGGAAAAGAGCACACGATTTTCCGACAACCTGTGGCTTAAAAAAAGGAACCTCCTCCTTTTTCATAATGGTATGCGTTCCTTGTAAATCTGTTATTTAAAGAAAATTAAGAAGGATGCGCCGCTGTGGCCAAATATCTCTAAAATGACTCTACCTGCTGGAAGGGTCTGAAAAATGCAGCCTGAAAGAAGCACGGGACAATACGAATAATAAATGGCTTGGGAAAGGGATCGTCCCTTTATTTAAGTGAAAACCGATCCAACAGCTCAAAACTGCAACCGAAGAAATAGTTCCTTCGAGTCGTGTGAAATTTTCCATCGCTTTGCAGATTCGGAAAACTCAAGGAATAGGCGAACAGGGATTTACATAGGATAAGTTTTCCCAATATTCTCTACCTGTTGATAGCCTGGGAAAATGCTCTATAGACCATGATCCTTGCTCCCAATTTTCATGGGAAACCGATCGTCACAAAAGCTACGTGGGAAATTATCTTAAATCCAAGCAGTTCACAGATCACAAGCGTGTGAAAAATCAGTCAACTCTTTCATGGATGAGTGAAAATGCCATCAGGAAAACAGAAAATATAGTAAGTGTGTGCTTGGCATGCTGCACCCAACACAGATTCTACCTGGGAGACCAAGAATAAGAGATCAACAGGCATTCGGCGTTGCCTGGGAAAATCTTTGAAGCGCACGTTCTACTAATTTTCAAATGTCATGGATTAAATCACGTGGGAAACTATCTCAAGTGGTTGTAAAATTCGACAATTAGCTAATGGGCAAACATAAATATAAATAAGGCTCTCTTACCAGAAATCCTGCTTGTTACGAGGATCTCCACCGGAAGCAGGTTCATTTCCTCCGGAAACGGCGATCCCTAGCAGGAAATTGATTTTGTTGCCACTCGAAATTGCATTTCCTCAAACAGGAAATTGATTTCTAATCTTACATTTCCAATTTCCTGTACAGCTTCCGTTCCTTTTTCTAACAAATAAATATTGATATTTGACCGATGTTTTTTGGGCGTTTTTTAATGTGATTTCCTGGAAGGACGCGCCCAGGCAGGCGTGAGAATGTTTCGGCTTAATTAGGCTGCTTCTACTAGGGAAACAGAAACCTCAAAGCAGTGATTCCTTGCATTCCTTTTTACAGGATAAACGCCACGTGATATATGAAACCTTACCAAAATCTTTGACTTTTATATGGGTTCGTTCCATGGAGTTTTTTCTTTATTCTTAAGATGATCTTGCCTGGTGCTAAAAGATGCCGTGAGAACATTGTCGAATAGTGGAATACAAAATTAGTTTTGGGTATCAGGCCTGCAGAGCAGTAGAGAAAGCGAATGATATTTTGCAGGATGCTTTAAGGATTCTGATATGCAAATTCGATCAAACAAGCATCCTATCGATTAAAATTTCTAACAGGCACACAGTTTTGCCAGCAAGCAATCACATACAATTTCGTCTTACCTTTTCAAGGTTTCCCCACCTTTCTTCCTACCTGTGGAGGAAAGGCAAGGTAAGAGGTTGCCAAAATAAAAAAAAAAAAAAAACAAAAAAACTACCACCAAACTATTGAGTTACAGGCACATCGTGCCATGAGACGTTTCCAACCCTGAGGTTATTAGTTATCCAAACAAAAACTGTCTTGAGCGTTACCAGGACAACAGCAATCCTAGAGGGAGCCAAGATATTACGAGCACTCCTTACTCTGAGGGATGTTTCTGAGATGAAATGCAAAAGGAACACATGGAAGTCTCCAAGTCGTGAAATGTCTTGGGTTCTATTAGGCGAACAGCGAGACGTGGCAGCGTTTGGCATGCCAACATCTTCAGGTCGTTTGTGTGCCCAAGAGGGTTGAAAGTGTCAGTGTTTTTAAGCGGCTTACAGAAAAGCCAAGGCAAGATCTTGCGGTGATCTCTTTCAGATCACTGGGCCATCATCATCATTAGTGTGGTGGGCGTTCCAGGCCGGGGAATCCTTACACAGCAGGTAAAATTCCTTCCCTCAAGCGTGAGAATTTCAATCAAATTCTGTTGATCTTTCAGCAGGCGAACAGAAGAGACGACAGCATGCATCCCTCCCCACCCTCCTCTCGCTTTACGCACAGAGCGTGTGAAACGGAGACCCACAAGAAAAAAACGAACAAACAAACCGAAAAAAAGAGACGAAAAAGTTGCACGAGGATCGCGTGGGAATAAATACTGGCCAAGAATGTAACGTATAATAAGGGATC